TTGGAAGCATACATAGCCTAATTTGTATCGTCTATTGACCTAAAGCGATATGCATGGTATGGTTGTTACATGCTGGTACGCAAAAAAAAAAAAAAAATAATAATGATAAATTAGTCTTGAACATTTCATACAGCAATCAACTTGCTTTTTCATCCTTGAGGTCAGATTTGTAGTGTCCAGATAAAAGTTTGTCCAGTCAACAGGTCCCTTAGTTTTCCTGCAGCTCCTCTACAGTCAGCACAAGCTTGCTCTTTTCTCCTCTGATTGTCTTAACGTTAACATTATCTTTGCTTTGCCAGTTAATTGAGGTTGAAGGTCATGTTTTGGTACGTTTGAAATAGTTCAATCTTCTTTTTTTATTATAGATGACATTAAGACTTTTGTAGTATGTAATATTCTTTTGGAACCTAACCCAAGTTTACCCATCTCTAAAGCATTCTATTTGCCCTATATGTTATGTTCCTGGGTCTCAGTGAGAGGCTGTTCACTAGCAATATCTAAAACACAGAGGCCTACGCCTGCATTCACACTGAAAATAAATTACATTAAGGTTGCAATTTTTTCTACTAACGTGTCTTTTGAAAGCAGTTGCTTAGAAAGACTTAATTTAGGGTAATTTATCTTATATTTTATAAATATTGACTACTTTGCATTGCTTTCTGATATAATATCTTAAGAAAAAAGTAAAAAGAAAAAGACAACTGAGAACGTTTTAATCTAATGTGCTCACCTGGACTCTTGGAGGCCATTTTCTCCGACTCTTTTGGCGTCCTGAAGAGAACAGGCTGACTGGGGGGGCTGCTGCCTCCCATGCTGATGCTCTGGACATGGACGATGTATTCGGTGTCCTCATCCAGATCCCACAGCGCGCAGGAGCGGGTGGTGGTGTTTACTTCCTGGATGAACCTCAACATCCGCACATCCTTCTTCTGCAACAGGACATATCAGACAAGGATGGGTGGGTAGAACACAACATCAGTTTTTTTCTTTCCTTTTGTTACCAAACTTTTGTCCGTGATTAACATTTCTTTAATACAAGATTTAACAATTAGGATGCAGAAATTCAGGTTCCTAAGCCATTAATGCTAATGTGTATACTTCTATCCAGGGTAACAGTTTGGAAAAAGCTTAAGTAAAGTCTCTTGGTTTTTTTTTTTAGCAATGCAGTTAAGCTTTGAGACATAAATTGCTTTCCAGGCCATAGACAATCTCCTACAAATACACATTATTACTCCGCTACAGCTGCTTGCTTAGGTCAATTGGCTCCTGCTGGATTAAAGAGCACAGCTCCTCTGGGGCACTTTTATTTACCAGGCAATTATAAAAGGAAATTTCTTAAACCATTAAAACTTCACAAAGACTAAATGCTCATCTAACATGGATCTCAATGTGCTGTGGGTGCAGCTGCAGAAATTAGGCTTCTGAGGACGACATTTTACATCTCCAGTTTGAATAATTCATGGCAATGTTTGTACAAAAACTACATATTAGTAATGAGATTAAAAAAACGGAATATTTGCACATTTGCACCACTGGCCAATCTACACAAATATAACGTCTGCCATTTATAACCACAACTACAAATGGTGTTACTTCTACTGTTGAAACAATTTATGTTATTGTTTAAATAGGGATTATTAATAAATATGTAATAATTTAATTCAGTTCAGTCACACCTGTCATCTCAACACACCTAATCTTATTCTTTCAGTCATGATCCAGATTTCATAACCATAGGTGAGAGAAAGAATGTATAACGATCGGTAAATTGAAAGCTTTGCCTTTTTGCTCTGCTCTCTATTCACCACAACAGATCGGTGCAGCATCTGCATTCCAGCAGCAGCCGTACCGATCCATCTATCGATCTCCTGCTCCATTCTCCCCTCACTCATGAACAGGACCGCAAGATATCTAAACTCCTCCGCTTGAAACAGGAACTCTCCTCCAACCTGAACGGGAAAAGGCCCGTTTTTTTGATTGAGAAACACGGCCTCAGACTTGGAGGGGCTGATTCTCATCCAGGCTGCTGTACCGTAGGTCTTGGCAGGAGGGAACCAGCATTACCATCGCTGTCAGCAAAAAGCAGGGATAAGATCCTCCGATCCCCAGAGCAGACCGCCTCCATTCCCTGACTGCGACTAGAAATCCTGTCCATAAAGGTTATGAACAGGACCAGCTCTGTCAGAGTCCAACATGCACTGGGAACAGGTCTCACCTAATGGCAGCAATGTGTACTCCTGAAAGGCACCATAAGGGACTCGGTCGAATACCTTCCCCAAGTACACAAAGCACATGTGGACTAGTTGAGTAAGCTCCCATGAACCCTGGAGCACCATGCAAAGAAGATCCACTGTTCCACGGCCAGGACAAAATCACATTCCTAGTCCTGAAGCTGATGTTCGACCATCAGCCAGACTCTCCTCTCCAGCACCCTGGCATAGGTCTATATAGGCTTATGAGAGGGATATAAAATGCTAAAGTATTACTGAATACAATCATGCAAACAACAAATTCCGAGTAGATTCCAAAATGGAATCATGTAGGTCCATAAATGAAAGTATTTTTTCTTTTAATGTAAGTATTTTTTTTAACTGATGGTGATTTACCTCATATTCTTTCTTTAAGTTAATAAGGTCTAAGTAATGTTGTCCAAATCTATCTGGCATAAATTAAGGCTGGGCTCACATTGAACTGTGCAGCTAGGGTTGACCAGAAAAATTTGCTATCAGCGCACAAAGTAGCCCTTTTTATCACCTGGTAGCCATCCAGTTTGTTTTTCACTTTTTTATGTTAATTTTTATACAGCACCATGGATGATCTGAAGGTACACCTTGATTTTGATGATTTGGGTTCCTTAGCCTGGCATTAAACAAACTGTTTCTACACACTGCCAGACAGCTGGCCTAAAGAAAAGGCTGTGAAATTTTCTCTGTTCAAAGGAATGAAATTATACCTCACTTAAAATGTTTTAAAAAAATGAACTTTAAAATCACTTGCAACATTGCACATATAATTTATTTTTGTTTGCATAAGCATTTAAGCTCTTTTAATTTAGACCTAGGTAAAACAGGTTATTTGTGTTGATCCATAAATAAATGATTTGGTTTTACAGATGATAATAAGACAAAAATCAAAGAAGACATGACAAGTTATTTTTTAGGGATGTTCTTTTTTTTCCCAAATGGCTTTACATTTCCATTTAACATCGACCCCCTAAAAAGATTTCATGAACTTCTTTTTGTTTTGAAATTTAGGACTCATACCATGCATGCTCTCGCACGCGTTTAATAAGCGTTCCCTCTTGGGAGGAAATTATTTTTGCACCTTTAGGCTGGTTTTTTCCCGTGTTGCTCTTCTCTACTTTACTCCACCCTCTGCTCATTAACTCTCATCTCATCCACCTGCAACTGCTGCACCAGCCTTTAGTGCCAGATTATTAAAGCTTTCTAGCAAGACTGAGGGCCGGATCTATCAAAGGTTTGCGTGTATAAAAACGTGAGCTATTTCACTGCGAACGCTAAAAAATT